CTTCTGGAGAAATCACCATTCATGATCATCGCAATTCTGGCACTCTTCAAGCTCGGTGCCGCCTATGTGCCTTTGAGCCCCGAAAATCCTGTCGAGCGTAATGAGTTCATAGTGCGTGATGTCGGCGCCAGTGTTGTTCTCTCAGAGACAGAACATGCTACGTTCTTTTCCTTCAAGGACATCTCCGTCCTTTTGATTGACCGAGCTAAGCTCTGTGCATATTCAAAGGAGAAGCCCGAAATCGAAGTCTCGCCTAGTGACCCCGCCTACATTCTCTATACTTCAGGCAGTACAGGTCAGCCAAAAGGAGTAACGGTCTCCCATGGAGCATGCGCTGCTGCGATGAGATCAATCGTCGATTTCGAGAGCAAGCGTGATGAGCCTTTCAGAGCTTTACAGTTCTCTAACTACGTGTTTGATGTCTCGCTATATGACTTCTTCGTCACATTGCACAGCGGTGGAACTCTCTGCATTGCTCCGTCGGATCGCCTGCTCGGTGATTTGGCTGGAGCCATCAATGGAATGGATGTCAACCATGTCTTCTTGACTCCGACCGTTGCCCGCCTTCTGGACCCCAAAGACGTCCCTGGCTTGGAATCAATGACTGTTGGAGGCGAGCAGTTGACGCGCGATGTGATCGAGACCTGGGCTCCAGTATTAACTCTGCGCAATGGTTACGGGCCTACAGAAGCTTCGGTTCTGGTCACCATGAAAGAGGTCACTGTCGATACCACCGGTGGTAATATCGGACGGCCTCTCGCTTCCGTGGGCGCTGTAATTTTGGAAGCCAATGGCGAGCAGCCACTTCCATATGGAGCAGTTGGAGAACTCTGCTTCTGGGTTCCTCAGCTAGCTGAAGGCTATTTCAAGAAGCCGGAATTAACAGCTGGGGCATTTATCCAGGCCAATCTTGGTGGTGGTCGGAGGTTGTACCGCACTGGCGACTTGGCCAGGTATCTTCCTGGAGGTGATATTGAATGTCTAGGACGCAAAGATGACCAGGTCAAAGTGAATGGGCATCGCATTGAGCTCGGCGAGATTGAGCAGGCAATTCTCCGAACGGGCGAGGTCACGGATTGCGTTCTCACTGTCTGGAAGCAGAACAACACAGCTCATCTGGTGGCCAACGTCGTGTTCAACCCCGTTGACCAAGAGCTAGACATCCTTTCACCAGATATTTTTGCCGAAGAAACACAACGTCTCAAAAACAAGCTCCACGGCTTGGCTCACTATATGGTCCCGAAGTTCCTCCTTCCTCTTCCCTTCGTTCCTCGAATGCCTTCCGGTAAAGCGGATCGCAAGCAACTCAAGGCACGTGTGCAGTCTCTCAGTCAGGGTGAGCTTGCCAAATACTCTCTCAACAAGCTTGGCACCTCTGGCTCTGAGGATATCACCCCTATTGTCTCCGCGTCCCAGAGGATTCTACAAGAGGCTTGGATTGAGATCCTGCATTTACCCGACAACAAGTTCGGGCTGGAAGCTAACTTCCTCAGTCTTGGTGGTGACTCCATCTCCGCCATCAATCTTGTCAGCTACATTCGACGCAAGGGTCTGAACATCAGCGTACGAGATGTCGTCAAATACCCTCTGCTTGGGGTAATGGCCGAGTATCTTCAGCAAGAAACGGATCAAATCTCAACTGAGACTGTCGTCTTTTCACCGCCGACTGAGTTGGATGCTTTGATGTCTTCCGAAATTCAACAGAAGTACGAATATGTGTACCCCTGTTCCGCTGGACAAGCCGAGTTCCTTACTCAGGGAGCTCGGGCCGACCAGTTCTGGTGTTTGATGACCGTCCGGTCCCTTGGAATCGACCCCAATATCTCTCAGTGGATTGGTCTCACAAAGAAGTTGGCAGAGACTAACGAAATTCTTCGCACCACTTTCACCCAGTTCCAAGGTAAATGGTATGGTGTCGTTCTGAATGATCCCACACCCGTCTTGGAAGTCTACGATATCACAGACGAAGACGAAAAGAAACAAGTACTTGACATGATATGGAAAGACCGCTTTACCTTCGGAAAGCCTTTCATCCGCTACGCAGTTCTGCGCTACCCCAATGGCGAGCATCAAATTGCCACAAAACTAGACCACGGTCTCTACGACGGCACGCTCCTCCGCGTCTTCGACGCCCATTTCCAAGCCTACCAGCGGGGCGAAGAAGTCGAAAAGTTCACCTCCTTCAAAGAATTTGCATTCCACGTCTGGCAAATCAACCAAACACGCCCAACCCTCGACTTCTGGACCCATCCTGACAAAAGACCCATCACCTTCAACTACCCCAACGCAACAGAGCCCTGTATCAACGCCTCAGTTGTGCACATAATCCACCTCGACTTCGAAACCTTCAGTCGGTCCAGCGGCGTGACAGTCTCAACACTCTTCCAATCCATCTTCCAGATGTGGCTCGCCCGTCGCAGCGGGCAGACAAGTATCGCCTTCGACTACCTCTACACAGGCCGTAATGTGGACCTACCAGACCCGCAAGGAATAAACGGCACCTGCGCCAATTTCCTGCCCATGCGTTCCGAGGTCGACGCGCAGACTCCCGTGCAGGAGTATCTGCTGCGAACGCAGGACGATTTCTGGCAGTACACTGAGAACAACACCGTCGGGATTGAGGATATCTGTCAGGCGTGCGGAGTTCCGCGTGCAGAGGTGGAAAACCAGGCACTATTCTTGTTCCAGCCTTTCGAGCCGGCGTCGCCAGCGAAGGAGGTGACGCAGAAGTGGGTTGTGATGGCTAAGTCTGAGGTGACTATGCTGCAGCCTTACGCGGTTGTCTTTGAGGTTATTAAGACTGCGGATTTGAATGGGTACAAATTGAAATTTGCTTACGATAGCTCTGTGTGGACGAAGGAGGAGGTGGAGGTGCAAGTTGGGGTTGTTGAACAGATGCTCTCGCGTGTTGTCGGGGATGCGAATGCTTTGATTGGGGATGTTCTTCAAACGGTATAAATATTTCTCTTTTTTGTCGTTGTCGTTGTTTCTTGTTTCTTTTGACTATTTTCTGCTTTTCGCCTTTTCTTCGATTCTCTTTACTCCAGTTTGACTCTCTGCTGGCCATATCTTTCCTTTGTTTGATTTACTTGTCTTTGGAAATTGTACATAGAATGATACAAGCAACAACTCGATTGAAAATCGTTATATATGTGATTTTTGGGTTTTATATTGGTAGTAGTCATAGAGGCTATGACTCTCCTATGAGTAAATCGCGGCAAAATGACATTTCGCCGAACCGCTGAAAACCCATACAAAACTTTTTCCCGAGCTCACAGAATATAAATCCCAATGTAAGAGCCCTGGATGTATTAAATTCAGTTTCATTCCATCATGTCCCTCACCTTTGAATGTATTCCCCTCACTGTTGAAGGCGTCAGCCTCAACCTATCAACGATCCATAAGCTCAACTCAAGCCCACCAATTCTCTTCCTCCACGGCTTCGGTTCCAGCAAAGAAGATCTAGCCGATCTAACAATCCAACCATCCTTAAAACACCATGGTTTCATTGCCTACGACGCCCCCGGCTGCGGCCACTCAGTCAGCAATAACCTCTCCGCAACGGACATCCCGTTCCTGGTGGCGACTGCCGAAGCCGTGCTCGCGCGCTTCAGTATAGACAAATTCCACCTGATTGGCCACTCCATGGGCGGTTTAACAGCTCTCATCCTCGCAAACCGCCATCCAGACCGTGTCCTCAGCTTCGTGAATATCAAAGGCAATCTCGCACCAGAGGATTGCTTCCTCAGCCGGCAGATCTTCATGTTCCCAGCTGATGACGGCGACGCATTCATGGATGCTTTTATTGAGCGTACGCGCACGTCCGGCTCGTTTGCCAATGCTATGTATGCTAGTACTCTGCGCGCCCGGGTCCGGGCTGGTGCGGTTCGGCCTATTTTTGAGTCAATGGTGCAGTTGACGGATCATGGGGACTTGATGGATAAGTTTTTGGCGTTGCCGTGTCCGCGCATGTTTATGTTCGGGGAGGAGATGCGTGGCTTGTCGTATCTGCCGTTGTTGGAGAAGGGGGGTGTGGAATTGGCTGATATTGTAGGCGCTGGGCATTTCCCTATGTATTCTAACCCTGTCGAGATGTATCGCCGCATTTCGGGGTTCTTGGGTCGGTGTGGATGAGATTGATGAGATTGATGTATATAGAATTAGAGATAAAAATAGAGATGAACATAAGATGTCGAGGGATATTTGCTCCTGCTCAAGTGACCTGACTATTAGGAAGGAGCGAAGTTGTATAAATTCAGGAAAGAACAGCCTCCGAATGTCAGGATATTGACGGATATCTACAAGAGAATCAACTTGGTATCTTTGACTCGGCTCACGCCCGAGGTATTTGAATAAGCCATTGTGGCTTGATTCGCTGCAAGGGAGACTACTATGATTCGAAAAGACCAGCCTGATACGGCATACAGCGCCGACCATGACGACTCCAGCTCAACCGGAATCTGCAATGGACTGCAAGGATTCAAAGATTCGCAATCGGATCCACCAGATTCCAGATAAATCGCTCACGTACTTTGAGCACAAGACGGCCTCCGTTGGACCTCCGCACCTGAACTAACAGTGCGGGGCTATTCTTTGCGCCATCAACAGTTCAGATTCGCAGACAAGCTTTCTTACCACTGTTTATGTGGATCTCCGGTGATATCGCTGACTTCAATGGCCACTCGTAGTGGTTGTACAACGACGAAGCTTTGCTTTCCAATGGGATATGGGGCCATGTTACATTTGGCACCAAGTCGGTGGCTGATAACTCGCTTTTTCGATATTGGACAGACCATTGCTAGACTTGAGAAGGATCCACGCAATTTACATGTCCAATACTAGTGTCTTTGACACGCAATATCCCCATCCCTGTCGACAATAGGCTTTTTTGTCTGTCTGTCTGTATATAAAGACAGCCCTTCGAGACTCCCACTCCCTTCCCTGCATCTCTCTGACCTGGATGGATTATACAGAATCTGTGAAGATTTCCAGTTCCCACGATGGCAGACAAATTCTCCGGCGCCAACATGGGCGCCATGGCCGATGCTCATCTGCAGGAGGGAGAAAAGATGGACACCAAGGAGTCTGCCGTCTCGATTTCTCCTGAGCCCGCGTCTGCCTTTTATGATGGCAATCGCTCGATCTACTTGGATTCTAGCATCACCTTCGAGAACTATGTCTACTGGGCTAAGAGGTCGCGCGAGCTCGAAAAGAACATTTCTACTGACGATGCGGGATTTGCGTACTTGGGCAAGAAGCTTTTTAGGAAAAGGTTTGACGCCCCAGTTCCAATGCAGAGACAGGTTCAGGAACAGGATGCCTCTATCATGGCCGACCCCAGCGCCAAACCTACCAGCGAAGCGAACAGCGCTAGCACAAGTGATGGTTGGGGCATCACGGAGACAGAATGGGAACAGGCGCAACGGGCCGGACGAACTGCAACCTGGGGTTCGATCTTCTATCTCATTTCCACGGACATCCTTGGACCGACCAATGTCCCCTGGGCAATCAGTCAGATGGGCTTTGGACCAGGAGCTGTACTTTACACTGTTTTCGGGGCCATGGCTTGTTACTCCGGCTTGCAACTGTGGAGGATCTTCATCGGTCTCGACTCGACTCGATTCCCGATGCGCAATTATGGCGATGTGGCTTTCCGTGTCTACGGAAACTGGGCGCGCATTTTCGTGAACGTCCTGCAAAGCTTCCAGTTCTTCCTCAATGTGTCCCTGCTCACTGTAACCAACGGACAAGGACTGGCGCAGATGGTCGTTGGTGCCAATGGCCACGGCTTCCTTTGTTTCATCGCTGCTGAGGTTATCTTCATGGTCATCGGCTTTGTGTTCGGGCAGATCCGTACACTGCAACGCCTTTCTTACCTAGCCAACATTGCGGTCTGGTTGAATATCATTGTCGTCATCATGACCATGGCTGTGGTTCATCAATACCCACCTAACTACGAAGCGTCGCTGACTAGCTATGGTACCCCAAAGGGACCTGTGAAGACAAGCGGCTACTGGCCCGCGAGCTCAACTCTTAACGACAAAGTCAATGCTATGATGAACGGTGTTTTCGCGTACGGCGGCGCAACCCTCTTCAATGAGCTCATGGCTGAGATGAGACGGCCATATGACTTCTGGAAGGGCTTTATCATTGCCGAGATCTTCATCTATGTTTGCTACCTTGTCTCGGGCATGGTTGTGTACAGTGCACAGGGCCAATTTACATTCAATCCTGCTTATCAAGGTAAGTCGCATAACATCCGAGGGAAATTTTGAGATTGCTGACATTCCTGTAATAGGTATCCCAAATTCTGCCTACAATTTCCAGACTCTAGGCAACGCTATCTCATTTATCACTGGCGTCATTGCCGCTTTGCTATACGGCAACATTGGTATAAAAGTCTTCTACTCAGCAGTGTTCCGCGATATCTTCCATTTCCCAGAATTGAACAGCCGAACTGGCAAGTGGCTGTGGGTTGGGCTCGGTGAGTTAATATATAGATCCGCAAGGCTCCATTTGTACGTAAATATTAACAGTTCCTCCAGTACCTAGCTACTGGGCCCTCGCCTGGGTAATTGCCGCCGCAATCCCGCAAATCAGTAATCTAACCTCCTTCGTGGGAGCTGCCTGCATCCTGCAGTTCTCTTACACATTTCCACCAATGTTGCTGGTGGGATTCAACGTCCAGAATGATGCGATACTTCCTGAAGAGGAGTTTAATCCGATGACTGGTCAGGTGCAGCGCTTGGACAACGGAATCGGCCGATGGATTAGAGGTTATAAGAAGAAGCTTGTGTGGAACACTTTTGATGTAATCTACTCGCTTGCTGCGTTGTCCGCCGCTGGTCTGGGAATTTGGGCTTCAGTTACTTCCATGAACAGAAATTTCAAGGAGGGTAAACTGACGCATTTCACTTGTGCGAACCCAGCTGGATAGATCTGGTTTCAGGGTTGAGTTATAGGGCTGAGGTTGGTTTTGAACATTGACAAATCTCATATGTCAATGGGTGTCTGTCCCAATGTCCGCTTTGTTTTCCTCTTTCTCTCGATTTACACACGGACGTACGTCAATCGAAGGAGAATATGTGATGAGACTTGGGTAATAGACGTCATATGACTTCGATCAAAATCATAGCTAGGCTTATATACAGAACTGGAATTCAACCCTAGAGATCGACTGGGCTTGAGATGTGTATCAGCATACCACGATACTCCAAAAGCTCTTTATCGCTTCACATGGTCCTCATTTTCAACACCCTGTACTTCATTATGAAACGAGGTAGCAGCCCCATCAAACGAAAACTTGGTTTCGTTTGCAGTTTCAATATCACGTAAACTGCCAAAGGCATGGAACTTCTCAAAGAGCACGCCCATCTCCTCGAGAGAGCGACCCTTCGTTTCCCTAACGATAAGGAAAACCCAAAAGGCCATGGCAAAGCAGAAGCAACCAAACATGATGAAGGTTTTCCAGCCAAGGTTACCAATAGCCGCGGGAGTCACATAAGTCACCACGAAGTTGAAGAGCCACTGAGTTGCCGATCCGCAACCAACACCGTACGAACGAAGGCGGGTTGGGAAAATTTCAGAAATGTAAACCCATGGAATCGGTCCCCATGATGCGGAGTAGCCAATGACGTATAGGTAAATCATGACAATCATCGCGAGGGATGCAGACGAGACACCACTGGTACGGTCAGGGTCCGGGGATAGGACACCAGAACACCACCCAGGATGAACATCATTGTGCACATCCAAATAGCGCCAGCGATAAGAGACCATCGCCGACCAACCTTGTCGATACCGATAACGAGGAAGACTCCGGTGGCCACCACCTTGACAATACCGTAGATACCCGTTGTGAACAAGCTCGTGCTGCCTCCGGACACTCCAACGGTCTGGAACAGCTGGGGAGCATAGTATCCGATACTGTTGGTGCCCGTCCACTGCTGCCAGAACATCATCAAGAAACAGTTGACAAAGCGAATTCGGTTTCCAGGAAGGAACGGTTCTCGCCAGGTAAGTCCCTGGGTTGATTCGACTTCATGTTCAACGGCCGCTTTGATTTCCGCCATCTCAGTCTGGACCGCAGGGCTGGTAGTTGGCTCCGAGCGCATATATGCAAGGGCTTCGATGGCTTCCTCGAGGCGATTCTCTTTAGCCAACCAACGAGGGGATTCCGTCAAAAAGAACATGCCAATCATCATGAGACCACCGGGCACAAGCTGGAATCCGATGGGGATGCGCCATTGTCTGGTTGTGGCGGGGATGGTTTCTGCCACACCATAGCAAAGCCAGTATGCAACGGTAACACCGATGACGAGGAATTCCTGGAAGAGACCAGCAATACGACCACGAATCGCGGGTGGGCAGTTCTCAGATACAAAGACTGGAGTGATAGCTGACATGCCTCCGATTCCGAAACCTGCGATCACCCGTCCACTATACATATAGGATAGCGCGCTGGTAGCGGCGGTTTGGACAGCAGAACCAATAAGGAAGAACATCAGGAATGCCATGATGGAATAGCGACGGCCAAACTTGTCGTTGACAATAGAGCCAAGGATAGCGCCGAAGAAGCATCCGGCAGTGAGAAGTGACACGACGTTGGATGAGACTTGGGCATTTTTGGCATTTGAAAAACCAGGACTTCCCTCCTCAAGTCCAAAATCGGCCTTGAAACTTGGAAGTTCCAGCACACTACCCATCACACCCGTGTCATATCCTTTTCGGGAAAATGATTAGTATAGCGTATTTGATAGCCTTAGGTATGGTAGAGAGATTTGTCTTACCGAATAGGAATGAACCCGTATACGCCACCGTAGCGAGCACGTACACGCGACTATTCTTGAATATGCCCATTTTGCCCAAACTGTGTTCGGTTCTTCCTCCCGGTGTATGAAGTTAGGGGGGAAAGGTGTCGGGGCAAGAAGTAGATTTATAGGACCCCCGAAGTAGGGCACAGACACCTCTCGGCCTCATATCAAGTAATTATGCATCTTAACACATACCCCAGACCCATCGTGCCATGGGGTTCAAAAGCCGATATATGGAGAATATGGAGAAATGACGTTCCTGTTTGGTCCATCGAGGTGGATGCAGCTGCATGGATGTTCAAGTCGATGTCAAACGGATAAATTATACCGGATAAATAAGGTTACACCACCATCTCCACTAGACCCAAACAGGAAAGTCTGGCGGGGCCGAGGAGCTCGGCAAAGGGTCTGGGCTGTCGGCGAACTATCTCGCCGACACACTTCACATTTGATATACTCTCCTCTCTTTTCCTGTCGCTTCTTTCCAAAGAGAATGACCTCCAATTCAAGCACGGTATTGTTTCATGCTTCTTTCCGCGGTTTTGCTGGTTCAATGTTAACATAGGTAAGTGACTGGACTTGATAGTGCCAACCTTGGAATCCTTGGCATCCTGCCAAGCCTCCGGGGTCACCTTCCTCTACGGAGTATAGACCTGGTCAATTGCCGGTATCATCCCACCTAGGCACCGACACGGCCTTCTTATATACTCAAACGTGATCAGATCATTGGTATGGAGTCAGATGGCTACAGCTCGGATACCCGGCATTACGCTGTTCAGTATCCCGCATTTAGCCTATGTAGTTTATTTCCCCACAGCCCGAGTGGTGGAGCTTCTAGGAATCGAAGATATTTGATTGGCTAGCTCGGCTGACTACACCTTGATATAACGAAATTTGTATGGGAGAGAAATGGTGGATAACCGAAGTTCGTACAAAAGGGGGTTTTAACGGATTTTGTATGGTGGATTAATGGTTTCCGGTCGTTATATCCGAGTATTCCTTAAATCCGGGTTATACGGGGGTTACTGTAACCATCGGGCCAGTATATGCTCGGATAATCTGTCGGTTCTTGGTGTGTGCTTATCACGCGCCTTTTGCTGCATTGATTTTCTATTACAGCTTAATTCTTCTGGCAGTTCCCCAGTGTTTGGTAACTCTGCCATGACCACGGCGCGGAAGTACTCTTCTCCAGAAGTTGCCGGCGGCACGCATGTTCAGCAGTAGAGGGATATAAATCACAATCTGGCCCCAGTCATCCAGGGATTCAACACCGTTTGGTTTGGCTAAGGCATTATTACAAAGAAAGCAGACAATTAGACATTAACGTATATAACAATGCCCACCCACTACCCACACTGATCCACTCAAAAAACTGGTTCCATAGGTATGCCCTACATCGATGTACATTCGGCTACAACATATTTTGGAGTCAAGAGGGTTGTTCTATTCACAAGTCCCCTATTAATACAAAGTCCCAGACGCCGTCTATGCAAGAAGAATTCTACTGAGCTGCGCACTGCGCCGGTTCATCGTCGTCTTCCTCGTCTTCCCATGCTGACGCACCATGGCCATCCTGCGCACCAAAGTCATCCATCTGACCCTTGGGATCGTATTCAACTTCGTCCACGGTGTCAGCCTTAATAGCAGGGCTGGGTTTGGGGAGGATCTCCTTGAGCTTCTCCAGCATCTCTGGGGTGGGCTTCCACTTGTCATCGGGGAACTTGACATTAACAACCAAGTACAAGTCGCCACGGGCATCAGTACGCTTCATGGGCATTCCCTCTCCAGGAACCTTGAGGACCTGTCCGGGTGACAGGATAGCACCGGCGGTGAGGGGGTGGTTAAGCTCAATGCCACGGCCATCGAGGTGCTTGATCACGACGCGGGAGAACCCGGTCAAGGATTCAGCAAGAGTGATATCGATAGTTGCACGGAGATCTGAACCGGCCCGTGTAAACACGGGGTGTTCTTCCTCAATGATTTTGAAAACGATGTCGCCGGGCTCTTGATCGGGCACCTGATCGGCTTCGCCTTCCAACACAATCCTGTCTCCTTCCCTAGAGCAGTGTGAGTATGTGACTCCGTCAGATAATAGAAAAAGGACCGGCTTACCTTGCGCCTCGAGGGATGTAGATCTCCAGTATCTTCTTCGCCTCGGTCGTTCTTGTTCCCTTGCACTTCTTACACTTATCCTTCGGGGCGAAGTATGAGCCTTCCCCGTTACAAGTGGTACAGATAACTGTCTGCTGGGTCACAAACTGGCCCATGCGCTGCAAGACCTCCTTGTGGCCATGGCCATCGCAAGTCGAGCACTTTTTGGCAGTGGCCTTTTCCTTCCCACCCTTGCCCTTGCAATGTCCGCAAATGACATTCTTGACGCTGGAAAACCTCACAGTCTTGCCCTTGTATAGATCCTCCAGGCTGACTTCGTAATCTTGCTCTTCGTTGGGGCTCTTGCGCGGTTTGTTGGGGCGACCACCGGGCATTCCTCCCATTCCTCCCATGCCAGGCATCCCGCCCATACCACCCATGCCACCGAACATCTGTGCCAGCAGGTCATCCAGGTCGGGTTGCCCTGCCATACCTGGCTCACCCGAGCCGTTGAAGGCAGACATGCCGTGTGTGTCGTAGAGGTGTCGCTTGTCATCGTCGTAGAGAATATCATAGGCCTCTTGCACTGCCTTGAATCTGACCGAGGCTTCTTCGCGCTCAGCTTCGGGGACTTTGTCGGGGTGGTTGGCTAAGGCCGCCTGTTGGAAAGCCGACAGTCAGTATCGCTGGAATACGGAGAGGATTGGGATTCGTCTTGCCTTGCGGTATGCCTTGCGGATGTCATCTTTAGTTGCGCTCTGATGGATCTCTAGGACCTCTGTATGAAGAAATAATTGATCAATACGGTATTTCTTTATAGTTGATCCGTGCAAAACATACCGTAGAGGTCAACTCCAGCCGTAGCCACTGAAAACATTGTTAGTAGAGTCAAAGTCAACACACGACTTTACAACGTACTTATCAGTGATTAAGTGTATAAAATACGATCGGACTTTTCTTTAGTAGAAAGATGCCGTTAATTTGAGCCCGACAGTAAAAAAAGAGAGATGAACGAGTAGTGAGAGCGGGAGTTGTTTGATCCAACGAAGTTTGAGAAATTTTGTTCGGCAGCTCCGCGCCGCAGCTCCGCACCTCCGCAACATCTCGAAGAGATCGGCCATTTCTTTCTTTTGTTAGACACTTGGACTGTTTTGCAATGAGGAGTCCTCAGGGGCTATTTGCCAGGCGATCTTGGATCATTCAATGCAGAGCCTTTTCCTCTTCTCCGACTGCTCAAGCGCCTAATTCGAAGAACAAACTGCCGAATGGCCCTGCGCGCACGCGTTTTGCGCCCTCGCCCACCGGATACCTCCATCTGGGCTCGCTACGGACGGCACTCTTCAACTATTTGCTGGCGAAACGCACCGGTGGTCAATTTTTGTTGCGCATTGAAGATACGGACCAGGTTCGTGGGTTGCGCTCCGTTGCATGAGCTACGACTGATTACGGTAGAAACGGACGATTCCCGGGGCGGAACAGCGACTTTACGATGATTTACAATGGGCGGGATTAAATTGGGATGAAGGTCGGTCTGAGCTATATACAAATATTGAGGGCAATTGCTGACCCTCGCTTTTCATGACAGGTCCCGTCGTTGGTGGTCCGTATGGACCTTATAGACAAGTGAGATTTCACACCTTTGTCGCTAATCAAATGATCCCTAACTCTCTGTGCCCATTTAGTCCGAACGAACAGCCTTATATCAGTCCCACGCCAATGACCTTATCTCCAATGGCCATGCATACCGATGCTTCTGCTCCGCAGAACGATTGGATTCGATTGCCCGTCACCGCAGCCAGGCAGGACTGCCGCCAGGCTATGACCGGAAATGCGGTGATATATCTGCCGAGGAGTCAGAGGATCGAGCAGCTAAGGGAGAGGCACACATTATCCGATTGAAAGTGGATGAATACCCCGTGTTCAATGATCTGGTTTATGGAAAATCTGGTCAGAATCGACCGAATAACTCCAAGTTGGATTTCATCGACCGTGTATACAACGACCCAGTTCTTATCAAGTCGGACGGACACCCCACGTACCACTTGGCAAATGTTGTGGATGATCATTGTATGAAGATCACCCATGTTATCCGAGGAACAGTGAGTCTACTTATTATATTCACAGCTATCAATTCACAAGATACTGAACTAACATTTAATCAGGAATGGATGCCATCTACACCTATGCATATGGCACTATATAATGCCTTCAAGTGGACGCCACCAAGCTTTGCTCATGTCCCTTTGCTCGTCGACAAGAGCGGACAAAAGCTCAGCAAGCGCAACGCAGATATCGACCTCTCATCATTCAGGGATCAGCAAGGGATCTTCCCATCCACCTTGGTGAACTTTGCTTCGCTCCTAGGCTGGTCGCATTCCGAGAAGTCTGATGTGTTAAGTCTGAAGGAACTGGAACAGATTGTATGTTCTTCTCATTCTCGCAAAACCGTAATTTTCACTACTAATAATGTCACCAGTTCAATTTGAAAATCACTCGAGGCAACACTGTCGTCTCCTTTGAAAAACTCCAGTTCCTCCAGAAAGGACATGTCCAACGCTTGGCCAAAAGCGGCGGTCCTGAGTTCGACGAGATGGTGAAGAAGGTGACCTCGGTGGTGGAAGAAAGCCATCCTCTGGACGAACTGTGAGTTAGCCATCAGCCGTAAAGAACTCGCGCATGGATTGCTTGGTATCAAATAACTAACACCTAGCAGCGACACGATCCTCAAAGGTCGCACTCTCCCGGAATACATCGCGCCCCTCATCCGCGCAGATGCCAACAACTACACAAACGCAGAGGAGTTCGCTCAGCGTAACTCCACCTTCTTTACCCCAAAACTCGACAGAGCTCCTTACAAACCAGTTTCCCAATCCTCCGAAGTCCCAATCCAAGCCCTGCATACCGCAGCAGCCGCTTTAACCCTCGTCCCATCCGCATCCTGGAACATCGACACGCACCGCGACAACATTAACAGCTACGATGGCTCAGACAGCGTAGTCTCCTCCGCGTCTGAGTCAGAGACACCCGCTGGCTCCAATACCGCAGCCAAAATATTCAAGAAGGAGCTGTATCACTACCTCCGCTGGGCGCTGTCGGCTTCTGCGCCTGGACCTGGAATCTCAGAGACTATGGTAGTCCTCGGGAGAGATGAGACACTCCGCCGAGTGCAGGATGCCAAGGCGTTGACACAGTCCTTGGTTCCTTCTGCTGGCCAGAGAGTTCCTAAGGGAACTTTGCCTGAGGATCGGAGTTGGATGGGGACTCTTGCGACTGACCGGTAATGTAAAATAAGAAGATCGAGTGGCTGCACATGTGTACTATAACTGTATTTGATATAACCCAATTCCAATAGGTATTTTTCTGAAGACAGGATATTGATGCATTCGATCACTTGCTTGGCAGGTTGTCCATCATTAATTACAGCAAATAGCTCAATGATAAGCGGTGGTTCTGCTCTATAATTTGTCTCTGCTGGAATTTACTGATTGACTGATATGGACGAAAGGACAAGTTAAGTAACCATGTGCCCCGCGGTATATCAAAGGTTATACATAGGGAAGCAAGTCCATTACACAAATTGAGCCTTTTTGGGCCCTTTTCTGATGTCTACCCAACAAACTAAGAAGGACAAGATTGTCTATATAACCAGAAGTATAAAAAGAAAGCTGCCAAGTTGGTTACGGCTGCTTATGCGGCCGAGTATTCTTGTCCCTGAATAAGTCTAGGCATAAGATGTATCTATTGAACTAAACAAAGGTATGAAGAACCAGAAGATAAAATTAACAACACTATATCAAAACACTCCAGGGCTGTACTTCGCTGACAAATACATAGAAAAACGGTGAAAACCAAGGACAAAATCCGACTCGCAAAACTGGAGATCGGAAAGGGAATAAACGAGCCATAAGCACCAAGCCAAGTGAAACAATAAGTGACAGAGAAACGAAAGCTAACACCATGCCAAGAAGATCAGAAAAAGGAGAAGATTAAGCCCAGTGGGAATTGAAACAGCGAGGGTGTCAAGCCGGGAAAGGCGTGAATGACAGAAATCCTCAGAAGGCTGCGGTCTGACACAGTCAGGCGCAAGGTTGAGCTCAAAACATCGAAAGATGAAGGAGAGCATGAGCATGATTGACATGATAAACTCGTAATTTTAAACAAGAAGGGAGGTTGAAGTCGGCCCCTCGGTGATTATCGTTTGTCGGGAGAGAAGCGTAAGGAATCTAAGGGAGCTCAGTCGTGAAAGGGAAGCTAAGGTTTATCATGAGCCATGCAGAATCCAGTCGTGGGATCATCAAAGGTCAACGGTTGCGTAACCACCGTTGAACATCCGAGGCGCCGAGAAAATGAGATGCAAAAGGTGAGATGCATTATGGGGAGGAAAGGTGATGTTCAGGGCATCTAGTAAGTTTCGTAGTCATCAGCCCACTCGGTGTCACTGCCAGCAACGCGCAGGACCTGCCCGGGATGCGGACCGTCTGGACTGACACTGCGAATACCCTTGGCCTTCTTGCCAGTGAGATCCGATCCATCTTCGGGTGCAAATCGCTTTCCTCCTTGTGCAGCACGGAGTTTGGAATAGTAAATTTCGCTGGGATCGGCTTCTGATTCGGAGCCATCCTCGAAAGTCTCCCAGTTTTCAGATCCAGAGGTTGCAGTGTTGACTGTAGAGGAGTTGGAGACCTGACGGGCAGCTGGGGGCGGAGCTGCATGCTGCAGGTACGGGTTGGGCCGGGGGAAGGCTTGGCCGGAGTTCAGGGACAGTGACGACTGTGAGGAGTGAGATGAATGGGAGAACCCGGTGGATCTTTGCGAGTTCGAGAATCCTGAAGTGCTCATGAACGATCGCTGTCGATCATCATAGACGTCTTCCGGGCTAACAGGCCGCACATAGGCACTGGACATAGCGCTGTTGCAGCGAGGTGGCTCCATAAGGTGGCTGAAGCGGTCTTCCCTTGACTCGACCGTTAATGCACGCATCCGTGGGGGTGGTCCGCGCGGGGGCGGCATCTTTCCGTTAAGTGTGCCAGACGAGTAAGCGCCAGGTTGGATACGACGCTCGGGGGAGTTGTTTCCATGGGGCATGTTTCCCAGCGGGACACGGGCGGGAAGCTTTGAAGGGGATGTTGCACCAGCTCTTGAGGTCGCCCCAGATCTAGAGGCACCGTAGCCAATTGTGTTGTGTTTAACTGGGCCGCTGCTAGTAGGGGTCTTGGTGGCAGAGCGGGGTGGAGGCGGGCCTCTCATAGAGCTTCCAGGTCGGGTAGGCGGGTGTTGTCTCATTGTGCTTGCTTTGGTAGATGAGGTGGTGCAGATGGTGTCTTTGACCGTGGTGGGGGCATTGACTTGACAGGTGTCAACGAATCAAGGTATCGGTCTCCGTGCACCAGGAATGGTCGGCCGAATTCGTCTTCCCAATGTTCCAACTCTTTCCGCAGGTCAGCTTCGAGTTTCGGCAATTCCTTGGCGATTCTCTTGCGCAGCTTCTCCTCTCTCAGGAGCTTTCCAGGGTCACGCTTTTCTCCCTTGTTCCCGCGGCCCATGAGGCGAGATGCATCTTGGCTTGACGTTGCAAGTGCCTCGCGGTCTGTCAGAAGAGTGCGGTGTCTCTCAATCATTTCGAGAGTGGGAGCGCGCTGCTCCTTAATAGCCTCCAGTCGTTTAATTTCGGCCTCATGAGCCTCAAGCAAGGCATCACTGCACACATCAGAGAATGCAGGTGTGAAATCAAGCATTTCCTCTTCGGAGAAGAAAAGAGCGTCCCAAAGTTCCTGCAACCGGCAGCGAGCATCCTCCACAAACAGGTGAAGATTCTGTCGCTTAAGTTCGTTGAGGCGTGCCAATTCATCTTCGAGGTCGTTGATTACGCGCAAACCGCAGCCACGATTCGCAGCCAGGAATGCCTTGCGATCAGCCTCCTCAACACCGAACCGATCCCATAGAGAGATTACAGTAGTTCTGAGTTCGTTGATCTTGCGCTCGCGACCCTTCTTTTCTTCCACCAATTTATTGCGCTTGGCCATGAGGTTGGCGACATCATCTTCATGCAGCCCCAGTTGCTCAGGGGAGTCGCGATAACACTTCACGATAGTGGAATCTGTTTGCGCCTGGGGTGTCCCGAGCTCGGCCCAGAGCTTGATCATTTCTTCGCAGGCAGATTGGACCTGGGCAATGCGACGGTGGTACTCTTCGTAAACGTGGGTGAATTCGGCATCCAATGCTGTCACATACATAGGCGAAAGGTCGAAGCTCGGGGGAATCGAGGACCCTGGCTCAGTGGGAGGAAGCTCGAGTTTGACGAATGATGGCTCGAGGTGTGAGGAGTAAGATTCAAGCGCGTCCACAAGTTCTATCAGATGTCAGTAAAGGAGTGTCAGCGACACATCACACAGGTAACACTCACTCTTAACCTGCTCAAAGCGCTCACGATGCAAGTTGCTCATGGCGTCATGCTTCTCGCGCAAGAATTCAATACATTTGTTAAGTGGGTAAGTGACACGAAGGTCGTCGCGGTTAAGCTCGTATTGGCCATTGGCCCGTTCATCGCTCAAGGACGATTCCATTTGTTCAATGGCTGTAATAAGACGTTCCGCTTCCTGCGTCATATCCTCTCTCTCCCTAGCAATAGAATTAGCAAGCCTCCAACGGGCCTGTTTGTGGATTCGACTCACTCGTCAACAACCTTGAGATGATTGTTCAAGGTCTCTGACAGGGCGCTGAAGAGCTGTATCACTCTGTTAGCCACGCGACAATGCCATTGTTATACCAAGGTCGAGCTTACCTCAGCTTCACGGGACTCGCGCTCGCGCGCAGGAACTCCAATCTCGTCGTAAATCCCATGGAGCTGGGCGACGATGTTGTTGACCTGAGTGGTCAGGTAGCCGGTGTCTACCGCCATTGTAATGAAAGTCCCTTAATAAGGGTGACAAAAGTCGAGATTGATAACAAAGAATGGGGTGTATCCAATCCAGCGACACAGTGCCGAGCGAGGCTGCGACAGGGTGACCAATGTCGGGATCAAAACAAGAGAGCCTGGCACACAGGGTTCTCAGCACACAAGGTGCGACGGAAATAAACGAAAGTAGATGTTTGCGAAAGCACTTAGGGCAGCGGCATAGGAAAGCGAGCACACAGTTGTTTATGAGGGGGAAGTACCGAAATCGCAGACGATAGATAACATCAAGTTTCCAAGGTCGCAAGTGGGTGTTTGGGCGCGATCGTCGTCCCGGGCAACCGATGACTCAGCCAGATCCACCGCCCCAATTCTGCCAATCAATGATGAACCCCACGGCCTACTCTACTTCATGCATTGACTTCTGATACCCATTTATTCTCCGGTCCTTGCAGAACTGCCATTATCACTGAGAGCCCTTGCTTAGGTACTCTGATCCCTGCAATACATTGTTTACCTTCGACTGTCTGCTCCATCCCCATCCATCCAAAATGCAGGCCGCCCAGCAGGCCTGGGGTGAGTAGCTCCATACCCGTATGACAGCCAGCTTGTAACTAACCAATGTCCCCACACAGAGCTCGAGAACGCGATAAGCGTCTTTGACCCTCAACGAGATGCCCTCTACGAATACAATGCCGATACAGAAAGAGCCCTCAACGACGAGCGACCATGGGCCACCGACCCATACTATTTCAAGCACGTCCGAATCTCCGCTACGGCACTATTGAAGATGGTGATGCACGCCCGGTCGGGCGGCTCACTAGAGATTATGGGCCTGATGCAAGGCTACATCCTACCAAACACCTTCGTTGTGACAGATGCATTCCGACTGCCAGTCGAAGGCACCGAGACCCGAGTGAATGCACAGGACGAGGCAAACGAGTACATGGTATCATATCTGCAGTCGTGTCGAGACGCGGGGCGGATGGAAAATGCTGTCGGATGGTATCACAGTCACCCTGGTTATGGGTGCTGGCTGTCTGGGATTGATGTGGCCACTCAGCAAACTCAGCAAATGACCGGACCCTTTGTCGCCGTCGTCATCGATCCGGACCGTACCATCTCCGCCGGCCGCGTTGAGATCGGCGCCTTCCGCACATTCCCATCGAACTTTACCCCGCAGAAGGAGGCCCATGAGGACGACGAGTATCAGACTATCCCGCTCGGGAAGGCGGAGGACTTCGGTGCACATGCCAATCAATACTACTCTCTTGATGTCAGTCATTTCAAGAGCACTCTTGATACGGAGATATTGTCCCTTCTATGGAATAAATACTGGGTCGCTACTCTCAGCCAGAGCCCGCTATTCACCTCTCGTGATTTCGGTAACAAGCAGATCATGGATCTCAGCCAAAAAGTGCGCAAAGCCGCGCGTGGAATGGAGGTCACTGGTCCTCGTGTCGGTGGCGGCAACACCAAAGATCAACAGCTGGATAAGGTTGTTCGCGGCGGACAACGGATTGTTGCGGAGGAAGTAAAGGGTCTCCTCGCATCCGAAACGAAGATGAAGCTCTTCCACGGCATCGGAAATCAGACTCCTTTGACAGAGTGATTCGGCTCAGACAATGAGCGGTCCTCAATCCCTTAGATGTTGACACGACTGCCACGCTTTTGCTCTTTAGCCTGAACTGTTGTATTTGGCGCTCAGCGGGTTGATATCCCTTTATTCCTTTGCCTTGACATATGCGCTGGCATTTCTCAGTTCTTGCCGTGTGCAGCAGTTTTTCTTTGATCCATCATGATAATAGAATATCTAAAGTTGCAGTTTCTGCAATGAACGAATTTATGACCCCATGTCTCGTCGCTTGTATGCACAAATATACGGCCCATCTTTGGGGTGATACAGTAACTCTGGTAGGCTAAGCAACCTAAGACAGACCAAGAGAATCAACCTCTATTGGCGTGGAATACTCGGTATCCCGCGCAAGAATCGAATAAGTAGTGGAACACTGTATATAATGAAGTGGAAAGCATCAAGCCAACTCCACCGGATAACATCCATCAGACAGGAACAAAAGTCTCAAGTCATTCATGACGTTCATTATTCAGAAGGCGGCGTGGAGGACATAAGCTTGAAAAGGGGAAAAGCAGGTCGCCCCAACCGGCGACAACACAAGAGGATATGTTGAAAAAGAAACGAAAAAGAACAGTAGTGAAATCAAAGGCCAAAAGATGTACGCCGAGAAAATGGCCAGAATATGTCACAGTCAGTACAAAGAAGAGGTGGGTTCAAGGTGATCATCGAGACAGATAACCTCATCTGGGAGATATAAAAAAAAATAAAAATGGAAGAAAAAAGGGGGAATAAACAAGAAGTCCCAACCAATCGAACAGCTCTATCGGGGAAAATGGTATATCGAGAATCAACGGAGTACGGAGTATACTCCGTATTAGTGCAATGATAAAGATGCCGAGGGTAACTGAATCGAGAATAAGTGTTCACAGGTGTGGGTCGTGGAAAGACATTTCACATGCATGTGATGAATCGATCTGCAAGTATCCTTGAAAGGTAAGAGGTCGGAAGACGAGGGGTGGAGACTAGGATAGCCTAGACACGGTCACAGGCCCGTGAATTGCCCCAAAAGGAATCGGTTTAGCCTGTGTCGATAAAACACGAGCGTCGATTGGCGAATGTCGGATTTGTCGGACCTGTTTTGGTGGCGCGGGAAGACGTAACTTGACAGGGATCTTCACGGGTTACAGGAAACCGGATTCAGATAGTAATCTACGAAGTTCAGAATCAAAACCAGTTAGTCTCAACAGCCGAACAGTTTTGAGAAAGAAAAAAAAAGCAGAAGTTGTCTTGGCCCAAAAATGAGGAGTATAGGAGGTCAAATTTGGGTATCGTCGAGCAAAATGCCGAACGCCATTTAAAACAGAAAATCAAAATTATCGCAAGATAGCGACGGTGGATGCAAATAACAAGGAGCCCTTGTCTCTGCTTGTGGCTTCAGCATACCTTGCAATCTTTTCGTCCTCGCGCTCCCTAGGCTCGATTTCCAGACTTCGGTCGTACATGTCGTGTACATCGCCAGCACCTTGGAGGTTACTGAGGATGTAATCTTGAAGTTCGCCGACGGGTTGCAAAAGGTAAGGCACGTTCTGGTATTGTTGGATATCCCGAATGACTTCTGCGGTCTTGGCCCGCTTATTGAAGTTGATCAATTCTGATGGTGTTAGAGACGGGATACCGTCTTCAATGAAGGTCAAATCCGTGAGATAGACACCTAAGATATGTTAGCCACAGAGTAAAGGGGGTGGGATACTCCAAGACAATCTGCTTGAAATGACCGTGACGCATACCGAAAAATGGAATACAGGGCGGGTTAGCGAGATGCAGGGTTTCTCGGTATTCGCCAAAGTTCTTCGTACTAGCCATAAGCCGACGCATCTGTTCCAGAATTGCGGATGTGCGTCCGCTAACCTGGCCCCACGTTCTACCTAGACGATGAATGGGTGCAGTTCCAAGAGCCGAGATGATGGAAGTCAGGGTAGAATAATTGTTGAGATGGCGACATTTCTGTATAATTGAGTTAGCAAGGCTGGGATTTGTCAAGCAAGCAGAGTAAATACATACATCAGCCACGTTCACAAAGTGTTTGATGACTACAACCCGCTTCTTAACATCGCCTTGGGCGAGAATCATTTCGGCGACCCAGTTGGTAAGCTGGTTCGAGTGGAGAATCAAGGCCTTGACATTGGGAGATGGTTCCGGCTCATCAGGGCCGACCTTCTTCTGCCATGTCTTGTTCAAACACTCAGTGGGCCGGATTTTGGAGTAGAGGCGCGACTCAATGATGGTCAACTGCCGGGCAAACTCCGTTGGATCAATGTCGAGGAACTTCAGTTTCTTCATATTCTTAGGGATGATTGGTGTCGGTGCGGCGGTGCTCTGAGTCGGAACAAGGCGCTTAACAGTGGTATCTTGTCCTCGAAGTCGTTGTTCGATCACGGCCAATAATGTAGGGGTTCCTGGGGTCTTCGTGGTAGCGATGGAGTCGCTGGTAAAGGTATGGACACGTCGCAGGAGATCCATGTGCAGTTCATCATTGGGCTCCATCCAGAAGTGATCGAACCAGCTCTTAAGAATGTTGACGACACGGAATCTAATCGGCTTCTGTTTCCGGTCAATCCACATTTGCATGTCATCTTGATTCAGGCCAAATGGAGGCTGAATGTTAAAGCGCTGGACAAGCAATTCAAATAGTTCAGTGGCAGTAGTGAAAGAGCGATAGGTGAGTAGGAATGTATTGTTGAAGGATGCATCAAGCTTATCGTGGCGGGTGAGATGTTCAACCAATCCGGCGAGTGTTCCACATTTGAGGATGGGCAAGTCTCCCTTGTTATCGTAGAACACTTCGCCTTCATGGGCCATTTTCAAGAACCAGGGAGTCTCTTCGGGCTCACGGACTGGCTCACGGATTGGCTCTCGGGTGATAGCTGTTGGGGGTGCCTGGCCAAAGAAACGTTGTGCCTTGTCCATATTTCTTCGTACTTTATCTGTGCCACTTTCCTTTTCAGGGGCGTAAGAGGACGGAATCCCGATTGACTCTGTGGCAATCTTGGCCTTGGACTCGCTTCGGCTATGCATTATCTTGTACGATTCATCTTCCGCTTCTTGGCGGCTATCCCGTCTTAGAGATGATGCTGTCTCGGTGGGGATTTGCTCGAGGAGCAGCGACAATGAGAAGCCAATCTGGGAGACATAGTTCTCCAACTGTCTAACGATGCCTCGCACGGCATTCACACGATCGTCGAGAGAATTACCACGAAGCTCGGCCCACTCATCAGCCAGAGGGGCAGAGACTGCTTGACAGCTCAGGACAAAATCTCCAATAGCGTCGTAGACTCTCTGCTTTTGCAGGCTGAAGTCTACTAGCTGCGGGTTCTGGAAGCTGGTTCCCAACGGAGCCAAATTCATCGACTCCACAGAGGAGATCCATGGG